AAAAAAAAATAATCCTGGTTCATTTCATGAAAACTTAGCATAGAAAGGCAACTTTCATTGGAGTCATGATGTAAAGATCAAATAGTCTCTTAGCAACCTTTCTTATAAAAGCATTACTTGTTTTCTACTTTGTAGGCATTTAATGGGTTTTACAATAGTTGTCAGTATTGTGGGAACACAAAGTATAAGTAACTTTGAGAGTGAAAGTGTTAGGCTGCATTAGCTATTAAATTCCTTAAAATTGATATTCTAGTAAAATCACAAACTTTATTAAAGCAGGATTTCATATTTACATTATATGACAAGATAAATCTACTATACTTGAAAGAAGTAAGTTTTTTTTTTTTGTAATTCTGCAATAATATATAATTCTGTAATAATATATCTGTGGATCTTAATCTTGGATGTATTGGAATTATCCTGTAAGAAAATATGCTGGTGTGTGAGTTTCAGCCACAAGACACCTATTTAGAAGTCTTGATGTTAGGAATCTATAAAAAAACCAACCCTCTTTTGTGGATTTGAATATGCAGCCCAAATTGAGAATTGCTATCTAATGCTATTTAACAGAAACACATATGTGTATATATATATATATATATATATATATATATATGACTTTCTTGTTTATTCACTATTTTAAAATAAGATGCATTAGATTAATATCTTTTTGTGCTTATATCAGATGAAATTAAGAAAATACAATTTCCTGTAATTGTAAACACTGGAGTCAGAACGTTTTCTACACTTCATTTGCAATCTCATCTGTCATCTGAATGTACACTAATGTTGGTCCTTCAGCATATCAGCTGCTGATTTATAAGTATATGAGAAATAAATCCAGCTGCTCTATCTGGGGTAGAATCATGTTTTGAACGTCTGGGGCAGGGAAATACAGTGATAGTGTACACATTTACATCTTCCCCTTTGGCTATGAACACATTATGGGAACATAGGCTGTTACAATTTGATTTTATCCTTTCAAAAACCATATTGATGTTTTTAGATAAGTTGCTGAACACAACATGCCACATCAAAGAACGAAAAATTGACTATAAGATGAGAATGTGAAATCACAAAGGATTCATAATTACACAGTGGTTTAGTTAGACATAATCCATTTAGGACTCCAAACAAAGGCTGTCAACACTATAGTTTGCATGACTTGTTGGATTACTGCTTACTGTTCAGTGGTTACCTTTTTACTGCTTCAATT